TTTACAAGCAAATATGTTCCATCTCCAGTGATAATCCATAGTGAATTTTGTTTATACCAGCCAGAAATCAATTTGTCAAAGCATTTCCCTTTTGGGAACATCTCTTATTTTAGGAGGAAAATCCTCATTTGGCCTCTCAGGAGCAACAAAGGAGGTAAATCCATGTCAGAAGAGCAGAACTTCTCCTCTGTGATGCCTAAGCTTCTCTGATTTCTACACGATAAAGAAACTTCAGCCTGTCATAATTCATCATGTAAGAGCGTGCACGTATATAATGTATGTTATGTATGTGTTTAACTGTGTGTGTGGTTCTAGAGCCTTCAGATGTGTGCCTGCCTGCAACTACCACTGCCTTCTCTGTTATTTCCGATGGCTGTGTGGAGGCGGTCTGACAGGACTTCCTCCTAATGGAGGGACTCCACACTAACTGACATGATGCTGACTGCTGGCAGACACCAGTAATACCACCTGACCACAAGATAGGATGGGAACTATGATGTGGCCTACTGACAGAGTTCCCCTGTGCTTGTCTAATCTTACTGCCAGTGGCTGTAATGTCCTGTGCGACAACATTAATGAACATGTGCCCATAAACATGTGATGCTTTATTCGGAAAACTCCCAACATAAATCACTGTGGCCAACCATTCCCTGCACAGATTTAGTTGCAAATGGGGAAATACCTGAGAGGGGCACAGACACAAACAGACAAAGTACACACACATACGCTCATATATTACCAAATTATAGAAATATTGCCTCCCAGACAGAAAATTTCAGTTTTACCTTAGATTTCATCGCTCAACAAAGTTAACTAGACTTAAATTTAAGGGCCTGTAATGAGCTCCACTTGTTTTTCTGTGTTAACTTTCCTCACCCAATCAAACCAGAACACACTTGGTGGCAGGACAGCGGGTATCAAACGCCAGGATTTGGCTAAATTTGCTATTGGATTTTCAAACAGCAGATATAAAAGGAAATTCTGCGCAGTACATTGTGTGGTCCAGAATCAAAGCAGGCACACAGCACATGAGCAACATAAAGAGATGCAGCAGCAGAGTGTGGAAAAGGAACGTGGACACAGATTTAAATAAATATAGCCGTGGGAGGTGCATAATGGGCATTTTCAGTCCAGGTGCGGATATGCACAGCCTATGATCTTTAAAATCAAGCCTCTAAAAATCACACATAAGTATATATTTAAACACTGCATATGGTAATGACAAAAAAAAGAAGCAGCAATTCCAGGGATATCCAAAAAGCACTACTAAAAAGATCTTCTCCAACTTACTGGTGCATGTCTGTCACAATGGGCAGAAAGTAGCTGTTGACAGGTTGAGCTGTGCTGGAAACTCACAGTGTTCACCTTCACCACTGACACAGCAAGACAACTGTTTAGGTTAGACTGGTGTACTTAATATCTGATTTGTGGGCTCTCAAAATATCTGACTGCAGCTTCCTGGCTTGCAGGCATCGGGACTAACTGTAGAACGACTGTAGCTGAACTTACTTACCGACTGGCTGCCTGACTGGATATCATAACGTCTGTCGCTCTGTTTGCCTGACTGACAGGTTACAAGTTTATGGGTTTGCTCAGTGACTTAACTTGCACATTGGTTTGATGAGGTGACTCAGTGAGTGAACGCAGCACTACATCATTAAACTGACTGAATCATACAGTGACATCACTGAACTGTTGCCGTCAACAAACAGCCACGCTGGTAAAAAAAAAAAAAAAGCAATGATACCTGGAAACTTTATCAGGGAAGACAGGCAGGCAGTTTTGGCTGCTGTTCTAATAGGGGAAGACTAATCTCAGGTTGCTATAAACCCAAATCTCATGAGATGATGGAAGGCCAGCTGAGGCAGTCATAATACTGGGAAACGGGATGAATGCAAACAATATATAACATGTGGATCAACAAACATAAAACTATTTTAAATAAGCGGGGCAATTCTGCCAACTTCATCTTTCTTTCCATTTTATTTTAGTTCCATATAACCCACTTTGTTATCTACACTCATGTCCTAGTTATCTGTTCATATTCCTCTTCAAGGTTAGACTGGCCATCTTTACTACTCATGTACTGTGTTACAGACTTCAGACAGGGTGATATTGATGGGCCTAATCTGAGCTGATTAATTACCTTTACAACACATGTACAGTAGAACCATCTCTATATCTGAGCTTAGACTGAGACAGGTTATTGATCAACATGCAATGCAAAGTAACTTTGCAGTCAGTTGATCATATACAGCCACATGCAGATTCAAAGTTGCACGAATGAACCTGGAACCTTAAATTATCGCAGATAAAAATAGTTCATAGTGGCAGGGCTGCCTGACTCAGGCCTTCTGAGGTGAATCTCTACCTTAGGGACCATCTTTCCAGGGTGCAGGTAGCATTTTCTACTTCTCGACTTGCCCCTGTAACAATACTTGATACGCTACCCGACTGCATCTGTGGCCGTTTTAAAAGAGCACAGGAAGTGGACGCTGTCATCTAAATTTAAACAAATTACATGCAACTTATAGGTTAAGCTTAGCCACATAAAACATATTTAGACAAGATCAGACAATATTACTAATTTAATCAATTTGCAGAAACAAATGCTATATATTAGCACTATTTTAATTGTCTAACATATTGTAATATCCCCACATTGCTGCAGTTTAACATATTATAATATTTAGATATATTACCTTAAAGTCTTTTATATTTAGATGCTGATCACATTGGATCCTATCACTAGATGTCATGTTATGGTATCAGCATGTCACCAATCACCCGGTATAACTGATACAATAAGTACATCTTTCCCACACAGCACAAGCTCCTATGAAAGATTCCCACGCTGACTAAATCTACACTTTCTAGTTTGACAATTTCAGGACTTTCTGCCTCGTGAATAAGTTCTCTGAGCTCTGGTGGATGAAACCATGCGCAGCGCCCAAAAGCGCAACAGCAACAAATAAAACGTTCCTGGGTAAAAACGCCCTGCTCATCTCCATACCAGAAACGCGTGGCGCGCTATGGATGTAACAAAATCGACGCGGGTGTGTATCCAGTGTCCGAATCCCCATCCAGCTTTATTCTCTGCGCTGTTAATAAAGGTTTTACGGTCATATCATCACGATCCAGTGGAAAGACATTTATCCACACATGAGCGACTCCACAATAGCCACATGCACCGAGCACCATGAGGGAAGGACCGGACGGATATACTCCTCTCCGGCTGGCCTGTCGAGCCCTAAAGCAGGCTTAACCAGTGTGTGTACGCATCCACTTACGCATCCCAGGCAGGGCGAAGGAAACCTAACCATCCCGAATAAACGGCGCGATCTTCCGTGTTGATACACAATCCCAAGTCGGTGCACTACTGGAGAGTGGAAGCGCACGGCGGTTGTTGCCGCCCGGGTCCGTGTCGATTGGTTCCCTTTCAGCTGGGGCAGCGTCAGCACACACACACACACAGTCTCCATTTGCAACTCCATCGCCCCCCATGGGCGTGCGAGGCCGCGGGCTGTGACGCAAATGGCACTGGGTGATTTGCAAATGACATATCTTCCTCAAACAGTGTCGTCGCCACGGGGACTGGTCCAATTCTCCAGATATCACACACAGAAATATCCATCCGATGGTGGGTGACGAGTAAATAAAGGCGGATGAGCAGTTCGCTCTACGGGGATGCGGTTGCATAACTCAGGAAACTTAATAAAAATGTGCACGGAGCGAGCGATGTGCAGTCTCCGTGACTGATGTTTTGTCGTTGTTTCGAGTTGATCGCGATGGCCTGTACCACAACAGTCCGCACACGATCCGTGCTCGACTTTTGGTCACAGGAGGAACCAAGCAGAGCGTATACACAGGGAACCGAGTGGCCTCGCTATGGTGGATGTGTGGTGGCCAGTGCTAGGACGCATGCACGTAGCTGACGGGGAAAGACAGGACAGCCGGAGTGGGACTTAGGACCGCATTCACAGGCCATAAAGGGCCCGCATGAATACTATTGTGCTCTTTTATCCAAGAGTCCCCCAACTATTTACAAAAGGTTGGCCAACACACACAAAAAATATCGCGGCGAAATGGTGGCGGCGGTTACAGCAGCTGCCACTGTGCTCTGCGCAAAGCAGCAGCACAATCATTGCGCAGCGCCGGACTTCCCCAGTTTTGTGCAAACTATGTGATTCGTCCAAAAGACTTTTTATTTTTATCTCATTCAGGCGGTCCTCGTCTGGCCAGCGGCGAACCAGGGCGCAGGGCAGTCGCCGTTCTCATGGCACGATTTGCATCGCCCCCCATTATCCCCGAAAATCTCTTTTTACACGGTTATATTGTCAGCCGAAAAACGCCACTATTTTGAGCAACAAAGGGGCAGCTTGACTTGATCAAAGGGAAAGCCAAGTACAAAATGCACCTTTCAAGCCGTAAAAGAGAGGCCCCTCATAACGATTGCAGCATGGCAGGGGAGTGCGGCGTAAAAACGAGCTAACCCGAATAAAATACACACAAAGGCAAGGTGCAGTACTCCCATAAATACGTCCATCACCACCCTGGTAATAACACTAAACCATCCTCGGCCGTTTGGATTAGCCTAGAGCCGGCGAGGATGTCATTATTATGAATGTAAAACGCTGCGTTTTGCGGCTCCGTGCCACCTTTTCCAAGAAGCAGCTTGGCGCACAGGACCGGTGACCCTTCCATCTTTGCGCGTCCTTCTACCGAGCGAAACCACGAACTAACTCGCATTTTGACGATTCACTATTGAATAAAACACATTGCGGCAGGTGATTTCCTCTTTGAGGGGCGAAACGCTGCGTGTGAAGGCTGCTACAACTCTCTGAAACTATTCCTCTCCCCGCCGCGGCCAGGCAGAAACAAGAGGGCGATGACGCCATTTTCTGCAAAAACAACCATGCTCGGGAAGCCAAAGCGAAGGAGGTTTAACCCGCTCCGCAGCCCTCCAATCCTCCTGAAACGCATCAAAAACAAATACCTACCTTGTATTTGTTGGATGGGTGGTGTGATAGTGTGTTTTGAAGAGGTAAAACTGCGCGGCTGTGGCTACTTCGAGTCCGGAGATTGTTTATTTCGCCTCCCAGCGTCCCCGGCTCACTCTGAACAAGTTGGTCTGCGAGCCGCTGCCTTTGTGCACCCAGAGGAGCCTCTCAGCATTAAACCAGCCTCTGCGCAAAGGTGCACCCTCTACGTCCAATTTCAGCTGGAAATGCGGGCACTTCGGGGCGACATTGCGAAAAAAAGGAACGCCTTGACCTCTTTGAATTAATAAAAGTTGTATAATTTTCCACCTTTTAACCAGAGGCCACGGTTGTAGCGCCGATTGGTCCCCCAAAACGCGCAGCCCTGTTTGAGGACCCACAGCTCTCCACAAGACTCCACGACTCAAACGCAAAGTAAAGAAGGAGTGGACACACCCTCCCCAAAAACTGAAGACTTCAAATAAAAACTTTAAAATACTTTATATGGCAGCAATTAAATAAAACACTTGAGACATTCAGCAGAGAAACAATTAGAGGAGTAAACTAACTCGAATTCACTTCCATTATATTTGTTATAAGTACAGCATGTTTGGTTAAAGATCTTCAAGTCCTGTTTAGATCAAATCATTAAAACATATGATATTTAATAGTTTAATGGTTGTTCAGTGACTTCCTGCACTGTGCAAACGAGTATGTGGGAATGTGTGTTAATGAACCCCCCCCCCACCTTTTAACAAAACACTGGCACTTACTGATGATAACTTCATCAGGTCACAGTGCTGATTCAAGTGGTTTCAGTCTAATTTACAATCCTCCTAAGAGCCAATCAATCAATAATCGACAGAATACCATTTATTATTAGTTTGTTAGTTCATGTTGTTTAAGGTTCACGGTATCACACAGCTGCCCCCTGTTAACAAACACAGAAGCCTTCATAAACATATTTTACATATTTTATATTGTTTGCCGAGGTGGTGATAAAATAGTATAAATAATAACAAGAATACGTCATTTTATTGATTTAGCCACTATGCTAAAAGTAGCTAACGCCATTGAGCTGCAACAGGAGCAAGTTAGCTAACCTTAAATTCATAATTATGTCAAATAAATATCTGGAGCTTATTGGTTTCCACTCACTATAACTTCCCCTACGTTTAACCTGCTTATAAAAAACCACAAACGAAGAGGTTTTTTCTTTATATTCTTAATAAAACGACAGGTGTGGGATAAATTAAACCTAAATAAGTTTAAAACTAGCTAGCTTAAGACAACAGCCGAGAAACAACTCGGAGAATATAACGTTAATGTAACATAAGCTACAGTGAGAGGTGGCAGTTCAGCTAGTGTTTTAGATATAATAACAATAACTTATAACATTAATAACTGCGGGACACAATACTGTCTGCAAGTTCATGCTAATGTAGCAAACTTTTTACCTTGTGTCCGGATTGTTGTTGAGCAGAAACCTGAAAGATTGAAGAAAGATTAAAGAAATGACATTTTTTTTTGTCAAACACACAAAACATAACAATATTTAATAGTTAAAGCAAAAACAAGCTCCTGAGCAAACAAGATATTAGGTTAAAGTTAGTTAGCTCATGTGTTAGCTCAACTGACTCACCTGTTCTGTGCTTAATGGAAAAATGTTAAAGTTAATTAGGAGCAGCTGGTTAAAAACATTTTACATATAAATACATATAAATATATATATATATAAGGTGAGTTTATGGAGGTGAGTTTATGGAGGTGGGGTGGTGACAGAGAGGAGGTATTTCTATGAGGATATGGGGTTATTTATTTATTTTTGACACAAAAAGTGACACATTTGTTCAAATGCTATGAGAGTAGTCACACAGAGATTCATTAAAAGTTTTGTAAGTAAGGGTCTATGGTCAAATAATATATTTCATAAAACTTTATTAGTCCATTAGCGCAATGCTGTGTTATAGAAGCAATAGGTTGTTTTCTTTGCTGTTCATATAATTGAAGTAAGCTGTCACACAAGCACTACAGATGCAGTTGTCAGTCAATAGTAAGTATAGTATTAGGCCTACAGTGTAGTAGAAGTAGTACATGTAATTATGTACTACTTGAGCATAATATAGTGTAGTAGTTGTTACCAGTACTTTAACAGCCAAAGGTTGCCACTGTCTGTAGGATATAACACATTATTCTTACTGTCTTTGTCTTATAGTACTTTTTATCGTGTATCCTCAGTGTAATTACCTTTTTCTTATACTTCTATATGCTATTTGTTTTGGTAATCCTGGACACGGGCTTATCGATTGTGATTCAAGAATGCAGGGAGTCGTTAACCGGATATGATGGTGAGATGCCGTCAGAAACCAGTTAATTACCCTCCCTGGTAATTGTGATTTTTGTGTGATTTGAATAATTGTATATTTGTATTTGTATATTTTATGCACCAACTGCACCAGGTCACATTCCTCGTAGGCGTAAAAACCTACTTGGCAATAAACCAAATTCTGATTCTGATAACTCATTTTAATGAGAAAACTGTAGCAGGTAAGTGGTTTAAAAAAATGTAAACAGAGCAGATATCCCCATTAAACTGGAACTGGAACCCTACAGTTGAGAGATTGAATTCAAGTATATATGAAAAGTAAGCTGCTATCTTACTTCACCCCGAACAAGATGACATTGTGAACAAACTGAAGTGTTACACTAGCTATAAAGGAGCCTTCTCTTTCTGCCAACATCTTGAGCTATTCATGAAAATATTTCATTTAGCCACCAGGTTAGGCAGCACTTGACAAATATTTGATAGATATAATGATACACAAAATGGTCTCCTGAATACACACTGCAAATATCTCAAATCAAATAAAGAAAAACACTCAACACATTGAATGCAATGTGTTGGGGGAATTTGAGAAGTTCTATAAGAGTTATAATCCCTGCCAGCTCTTTCCTTTAGGCTCACGAGAGCTCTCAACAAAAGGTGCCCACCACTATCGCCTATACACAATTAACTAAAGCACCAGCATTATTCCATTATCATAAGAATGCTGTTTGCAATGGGGGGAGAAACTCCTCGGCATTCATGGACATCGCCGAATAGAGCCCGAGAGCTTTTATCTTCTCAATTACATGCAGGCTGCATTTATCACACCACCTAGTGACATGTTTGGACACTTTTTGTGCATGAAAAATAATTAATTTACGCTGCTAATTTAAATAGCCTGTTTATAATTATAGCATGGGCCACAAGTGGGCCTTTTTTTGGGTGGAGGGGAGGTGTGGGGGATTGGACTGATGAAATCTTCTCTAGTTTTTCCCTATTTAGGCTTCCATATGAGAGCAAATATTGTGATTGAGAAACAAACATTCACCGTAATCAAATTTGTGCTCAACTTTCTTACCAGATTGCTGAAAATTGAAGTCTATTTGCACAGTTTCTAATACTTCCTTGGATATGTGAGTATCTGATATCCCTGGAAGCTGCCTATGATTATGAATTCAGCAGACGACCTGCGCAGTAATTGTTCATCCCAGCAGGAGTATCGGAATAAATGAAGACTAAATAAGAGCAGTCCCTCACTTTGAGGTTAGCGTCATTTGCTCTGCACTGCATTTACTTTCCCCGAGTGCTTTTGATCTGATATGTGGCTGATGAGATTCGGGGTCGTGTTAGAGGTAACTGACCACAAGGTGTCAATGTTGCTGGGAATGTGTTTTCGGTCTGTCATTTCAGTCCATTAATGTAGAGAGCGTGGAGGAAAGCAGCGGGTAGAAAATGCCTGCTGGATGTCATGCTCAAATAAATCTAATTGGATGTAGCGATTTGTCTGGAGAGCAGTAATAGATGGCAGTAGAGCCGTCTGTACATGTAACTACAGCAACTGGATCAGAATGTTTGCCAAAAGCTGGGTTTTACAGACTTTACACATACGTAACCCCTTTTAAAAAAAAGCACTGCACAACATAATAGTAAGAGGATACAATCTATACAGTGTATTTTAGGCTGAACCATTCCTCCTAAGAGAAAAATGATGTTTGGAAAATGCTGTAGGCATATGAGCAATATAGCCGTGCAAGAACAGTCATCATGAAAAAATAATGCAGCAGCTCCTTTTGTGGAAAAAAAAACAACAACAACTCTCATAAACTCTCCAGCCTCAGATGCAAACGTTGGAGGGAGTCTGATCACGCAGTGTTGTGTGTTTTGGCCACAGTGTCCCTTTGCTTTCAAGTTTTTATGTGTAATTTAACTTTAACTTCCCTCTCTGCCAAATGAGATTCTGTTTCTTTCTGACCTTTGTCACATGCCGTCTTATTTTCTCAGATAAGAGAATTACCATGAAAAAGGCCAAAGGGGCGTCTTAAACTCACTCGACCTACAGGACCTTTATGGACGACTTCACTGTTGCTGTAAAATCAATCAAACGGCCGAAGTTCAAAGCCTACTATTGATAATTTTCACATGACACCCAGCCTAAACTCTCATACCCCAGAGGAAAACATCAACATTTGAGTTTGAAGACTGTGATCATTACATCCATATTGTTGCTAAGAAGGTTAAGAGAGTTGTCACGACAGCTGCTGTCATGGGTCATATTCAGATTTTTGAATCGGAATATACTGTATATCTGACAGACTTCTGAACGGCAGACTCAGTTAAAAAACTAATTTTCAGAAGGAAATTTAAACTTTAATTTATAAGCAATAAAACACAGTCTTACTCAGTGGTATACACAAAGAGCTTTTGTTGCTATAGCCTTACTTGGTCTAGTACAGTATGACCACTAGTCTTATGGCTGCTAATGTTAGCGAGTAATCCATATTAATTGAGTCAGTTCACTAACTGACTCCTTTATATCTGTGGTTCTGTTACATTTACGATGATCCCATAATGTTTCTTGTGGGGACAGTGGACGCTGTTCAGTAAAAGTTTTAAAAGTAAAAGTCTTGGTTCGTTAGGAATATTATAGTGCTAACACGGGGTAATGTGGGGACATGTTTCTATCGTTTTGTAGTCAGTTGCACTCTCTTCATGGTCTTTGTGTGTTTTTTTTAACTCAGTCACCACTCTCTGGGGGTCTACAGTCACATCTGACTCAGACTTGAGGACAAATTAGCTGTTCTCCACAACACTGGCAAGAGGCACTTAGTTGCAAAGGCTGAACAGACAATTCTCA